ACCATACAATCCCTGCCTTTCATATCCCATATCTTTTGAATTAGCTGGGTAAGCGTTTAATGAAAATGACTACATTTAATACCTATTCCCAGAACTCTACTTAACATATACTGTCGTATTTGATTCTCTTCATAAGGAATCCAGTGATTTTTAATTCTTCTTACGTCTAAGAGTTTGAGATATGTAGTCTATACTGTAAAGAATCAGTAAATTATGGTTTTAATCAATTGGTGTATATAATTGTAATGAACTCACTAAGCTCTTCAACATAAGGTGGACTGGTGCGACCTTACGTTAGTAATAATTGATAAACACATACACACTTATAGTATAGCAAATTTGACGTGTGCGTGTAAGAAAAATAAGAACAACAGCTCTAACAAAACAAATCCCAATTAATGAACTTGAGTAGTAAAATACATTCCACAATTTAATTTCACGGTTAGAAATAGTACAATTAATTTTCAGATGGTGCTTTCGATATATCAAACATAGCAATTTGGAATGGAATAAATTATGTGATTTTTGCTTATTTTATTGTATACAGACACACGCCCTCTCCTATCCCCCCCCCCCCCGCTCTACAATGCGTTAAAAGTAGGGAAGGTAACCCCATCTGTTGGAAATTACATTGTTACTGCAATCACAGTAAATACCTTTATGTAAATTTAAACAGGTAATGCAGTGTAAACTAGTCCTTGATACAATTATCTAGGAATAACATTTTATTGTAATATAGAGTTATTTTATCAATGTAGCGTAAACTTTTTCAAGTATATTTATTTACATATTTGTGTATTCCTTTAAATGTACTTGAAAAATAACTTTTTTTAAACATACTGTTAATTTACTAAGTAAGTTTTCGATCTAAATAACGGTGATAAATAGCATTACAGTTATGGACTCTTCCTCCTATTCCTTAGACAAGTTCTAAAAAATAATAGTAAACTCAGAATAAACAAAAAGAAGCGTTCATCTCATCACTGACTGTCTGCTGATATTCATAATTTCCAATAACATATTTCATTCTTTGTCACGAAACTGCTTATGAAAACCTTTCACTTTTAAATACATAGAAAGAAGTTATCTAGATACCTCTGTGTCCAATGGATGCCGCTTGAGGGTTATATAACTCTTATGTAATAGACATCAGAGGGCGATGACGTCCATGAAATGGCACCGGAGGGCCTGTTACTATAGACCGATGCTGTTACTAAGGCTCTGTAGGCGGACGGTGTTACTTAGATTCAATAGAATGATTGTGTTGCAAAGGATAGTGTTTGTATAGGCGGGTGATATTACTTAACAAATTGTGTTATTAAGACTAGTGCTGCTTAGGCGGATGGTGTTTCTATAAATGGACAGTTCAATAGGATGATGAGGTCATCGTAGGGTGTCTCAATATGTGAATACGTCATCAGCACTGTAGCTGTCACTCTTAGATTTAATTATATGACCTAATAAGATGCAAGTAAAACCAAAATTTTAACGAGACAATTATTATATCATAGTGTATTACGTATGTCAGTTTTTATTACACATACTATCTTAATTTATCCATTATTTGAACGAGGCAAATAATATATCATAGCCAATAAGTTATTTAACATAATTTTATAATTACCTCTCCTGAAAGGATTTTATGATATCTAATGTCTCGTTTTTATAAATACTGAACGGAACAGTTACATATCGTTATTGTATTGACAATTACGTTTTTTTATGATTTAGTATACAGTTAATGTACGATAGTATAGTTTTCACTTCTATATTTAATTTGCATAACATAGTTTTTACAATTGTCGTCCTGAAAATTATGTATTTTCTTTTATATTATTTTAAAGTATATTATTTATATTATATTATTTATATTTCTAAATAATAAACAATAATTTAATATATTGTTTGTTTGTTTGTTTTTAATTATGCACAAAGCTACACAAGGGCTATCTGTGCTCTGCCCACCACGGGTATCGAAACCCGGTTTCTAGCGTTGTAAGTCCGCAGACATACCGCTGTGCCACTGGGGGGCAATTTAATATATATGTATATGCTTTCTGTTTCACTTTATATATATATACATATATATGTTATAACATTTAATCTTATTAGTTCACCAAAGCAACAAATACATTTTTCACAAATGAACATAGTCTATAACTAAAAAACGAGTTGACAATCATAATCTTAAAAGGTTTGGTTTGTTTTGAATTTCGTGCAAAGCTACACCAGGGCTATCTTCGCTAGCCGTCCCTAATTTAACAGTGTAAGACTAGAGGGAAGGCAGCTAGTCCTGCTGTGCCGTACAGCAG